CGCCCGGCTAAGTTTTTGTATTTTTAGTAGAGACGGGGTTTCACTGTGTTAGCCAGGATGGTCTCGATCTCCTGACCTCGTGATCCGCCCGTCTCGGCCTCCCAAAGTGCTGGGATTACAGGCCTGAGCCACCGCGCCCGGCCAGGCAGAGTCTCTTTATGCCCCTCCCTTGAACCTGGGGGCCCCTTTCTTGAATTTGTCAGGAACTCCACTCCCTTGCAGCCCCACAGCTGGACCCTCTGGTCTGTTGGAAAGTGTCTGTGAAACAACCCTTTATGTTCTGGTATTTTGTTTTGCTTTGTTTTAGTTAAAGACGAGGTCTTTCTGTATTGCTCAGGCTGGAGTGCAGTAGTACGATCATGGCTTACTGCAGCCTCAACCTCCAGGCTGAAGTAATTCCCTGCCTCAGCCTCCCGAGTAGCTGGCACCACAATCCGGGGCCACCACCAAAACTAATTTTTACAATTTTTTTTGTAGTCAGTCGAGGTGGCTCACGCCTGTAATCTCAGCACTTTGGGAGGCTGAGGCAGGCAGATCACCTGAGGTCAGGAGTTCAAGACCAGCCTAGCCAACATGGAATCTCTACTAAAAATACAAAAAATTAGTTGGGCATGGTGGCACATGCCCGTAATCCTAGCTACTCGGGAGGCTGAGGCACAAAAATTGCTTGAACCCAGGAGGCGGAGGTTGCAGTGAGCAGAGATTACACCATTGCACTCTAGCCTGGACAACAGAGCAAGACTCCATCTCAAGGAAAAAACATTTTTTTATAGACATGAGGATCTTGCTATGTTGCCTAGGCTGGTCTTGAACTCCTGGCCTCAAGCGATTCTCCCGTCTCAGCTTCCCAAAGCATTGGGATAACAGGAGTGAGTCTCCATGCCCGGCCCTAACTCTTGCTTTTTGAATCATATCTTCTTTCTTTTTATTATTGGTAGCTAGAAGAAGCCAAGCAGCACCTTGAACCTTCTCTCTGGGCATCTCTTTAGCTGGATCCTCTTATTCTTGGGTATACTGTCTGGCTTCTAGTTCCTATTTGGCCACAGGTGACAACGTTGCTAAACTTCCTGCCGCTGCATAACAGTGGTCTCCTTTCCTCCGTCCTCCAGTAACATTTTCTTCACTTTCCTCTAAGTTCCCACTGTCAGCCTCTGCAAGATCCTCCCAGCTCCCGGATCCTGCCCCATCCCAAAGCCAATGTCACATGATTTAGGTTTTGTATCAGCAGCACCCCACTTCCACTACCAGATCCCGTTCTGCTTATCTGTAGCTATATAACAAACCACCTCAAACTTGGTGCAGTAAAAATGCACAGCATCATCTATTTTATTATCTCTCATTGTCCTGGAGCTTGACTGGGCTCAGGGAGGGGATTCTCAGTTTTGGTATCTCCTGTGGTTGCAGTCCAATGGCGGCCGGGGCCAGAGCCATCTGGAAGGCTTCCTCACTCACTTGTAGGTGCCCCGTGCAGGGGGTGGGTGGGTCCTTCAGCTGGCGCTGCTGGCTGGAGCACTCCTATCCTCTCCCGAGGCTGCCTGTGCCCCTCACAGCATAGTGGCTGGGTGCGAACAGCAAGCATCCCGAGATGTGACAGAGAGAAGGAGCTGGGTCGCTGATCTGTGTGACTCTGTGTGTGACTTGGCCTCAGAAACCACACGATGTCAGTTCTGCTGCATTCTGTGGATTAGAAGCAAGTCATCGAGGCCAGCCCATGTTCAGGAAGAAACCCAACTAAACTCCCAAAGGGAGGGGTGTCAGAAAACCTGCCAGCATATTTCAGAGGCACCACAGTGGCCAGGCACAGTGGCTCACACCTATAACCCCAGAGCTTTGGGAGGCTGAGGCAGGTGGATTGCTTGAGGTTAGACTAGCCTGCGCAACATAGATCTATATTGTTTCTTAATTAGCCAGGTGTGGTGGTGTGTGTCTGTGTTCCCAGATACTCAGGAGGCTGAGGTGGCAGAACCTCTTAAGCCCAGGTGTTCGAGGCTGCAGTGAGCTATGGTCACCCACTGCACTCCAGCCTGGGTGAAAGAGTGAGACCCAGTCTCAAAAGTGAAAAAAAAAAAGGGAGGGGGGGCGGTGGGCAGGCCAGGCAGGCACAGTGGCTCACACCTGTAATCTCAACACTTTGGGAGGCTGAGGCAGGCAGATTGCTTGAGCTTGGGAGTTTGAGACCAGCCTAGGCAACATGGCAAAACCCCCCAAAACCAGAAACATTAGCTGAGCATGGTGGTGCACCTGTAGTCCCAGCTACTTGGTAGGCTGAGGCAGGAGGATCACTTGAGCCCAGGGCACCAAGGCTCCAGTGAGCTGTGATTGCACTACTGCACTCCAGCCTGGGCGACAGAGCAAGACCCTGTCCCAAAAAATAATACAAAATAGAAAATATTTTGAAAAGGTGCCACAGTGGGCCATTTACCAAGGTGGACTGGTGATGAGGCAGGGCACACGCAGAAGCAGACAGGTGGAAGAGAATAAGCCCTGGAGGTGGACAGGTGGGCAGTGGTCCATTTGTAAAAGTGGGGAACAAGAAAGGGATTTTGAGAAGACCTAGAGTTCCTTTCTGGCATGGTGACTGGGAGACCTTTATTGGTGGTGGAGATGGAGATGTGGAGCAGGCTCTGGAAACAAGAGCCTGGAGCAGAGAGAAAGGCCAGGCTGGAGGTGCACTTGTGAGTCACTGTCACAAAGATGGTGTCTGGATCTCCAAGGCTGGAATAGGTATCGAGGGTGAGAATGGGAAGGGATGAAGCAATGGCCAGGGCTAGGAGGAAGAGGGCTCAGCAAATGTTCGGGTGGCTCTCATGACCAATGACCCTGCCTCCCCTATCATAGCAGAGCTCTGATTTTCGAGGATGGTCCAGATGCAGTTCTGTGAGGGAGGTCTGCTGGGGTAGAAGGGATCCATGGCCATCCAAAAGGCCATGGGAGGAGACGAAAAGTGTGGGGCTGTGACAGCCATTCTACCACCAGGAGGTGGGTGTGGGGTTGGCAGAGCCACTCACGGAGGTGGCAGCTCCATCACTGAGCCTCCAGACTAACAACCCCTGGGGATCCTATGTGGGAGCTCTTGTGACAGAAATTAAATCAGTAGGTTCTGTCACAGCGATGTCCACAGCACTTTCACTGATAGCAGAGCGGGGATGGCAGAGTCTTGCAGAGGGGCTGGCCGCGGGAGGAGCGCAGGAATACGCATTGCCCTGTGGAGGTGGCCAGCTTCTAACCGTCTCACGCCCAGTCACTACAGTTTACAGACTGGGAGAGTCAAGCCCAGAGGCTGAAGGCACCTGTGGAAGTCACACGGCCAGAAAGTGACAACTCGGTATGAGCCAGGCCGTCTGTTTCTCTGTGCTGAGTCCCATACTGTATTTTCGGAGGTCAAGAGGAGAGGGTCTTTTTTTTTTTTTGAGACGGAGTCTCGCTGTGTCTCCCAGGCTGTAGTGCAGTGGCGTGATCTCGGCTCACTGCAAGCTCCGCCTCCCGGGTTCACGCCATTCTCCCGCCTCAGCCTCCCAAGTGGCTGTGACTACAGGCGCCCGCCACCACGCCCGGCTAGTTTTTTGTATTTTTTTTTTTTTTTTGAGACGGAGTCTCGCTCTGTCACCCGGGCTGGAGTGCAGTGGCCGGATCTCAGCTCACTGCAAGCTCCGCCTCCCGGGTTTACGCCATTCTCCTGACTCAGCCTCCCGAGTAGCTGGGACTACAGGCGCCCGCCACCTCGCCCGGCTAGTTTTTTGTATTTTTTATTAGAGACGGGGTTTCACCGTGTTAGCCAGATGGTCTCGATCTCCTGACCTCGTGATCCGCCCGCCTCGGCCTCCCAAAGTGCTGGGATTACAGGCTTGAGCCACCGCGCCCGGCCGTTTTTTGTATTTTTAGTAGAGACGGGGTTTCACCATGTTAGCCAGGATAGTCTCGATCTCCTGACCTCGTGATCCACCCGCCTCGGCCTCCCAAAGTGCTGGGATTACAGGCTTGAGCCACCGCGCCCGGCCGAGGAGAGGGTCTTAAGCTGAAGTGACGGTCCCGCTGTCCGAAGCCGCTTCACTGAGGGTGAAACAATGCAGCCAAGTGCCGGTCACCTGCGCTGTGGCAGAAGGGACCGAGGACGGTGTGGCCAAAGTAGGACTGTCCTGGGCGGAGAGCGAGGAGGGGGAGCCCACAGCTCCTGGGGGCAGTGACAGTGCGAGGAAGGGCGGGGTGCAGTGTTGGATGTTTCTGCGGGGATTCTGGGTCCAGTGGGAAAGCTGGAGGACGGACGGCTGTGGAGCACCGAGGAGGGGCCTTGAAAGGAGCAGGGAGGTCTCCTTGACGCAAGTGAGGAGACGGAGAACTGGGGGCACCCGGCAGCCCAGGTTTCCTGCCGCGCTCCCACGTCCTCTAGGGCCATGAGACCCTGGCTCCGAGGCGGCGGGCGGGTTTGGAACCCAGCGCGGCGGGACCGTGGGGTTGCCGGTGGTGTTGGGCCCCGTGGAGGCTGCGGTCCCGGAGTTTCGGGTGGGCGGCTAGGCTGGGCTTCTGCAGGCGTGCTGAGCCGCCACGGTAGGGCCCCAGAGGGGACGAGGAACAAGGCCCGGCGGAACGAGGCGTGGGGGGCCACCAGAGGCTAGGCCGGGAGGCACCGCCGCGCTCTGGGGGCCGCCAGGGTCGGGGCGCCCTCCGGGCGGCTGCCAGGCCCAGGGGTTGGCGGGGAGGCGGTCATCCGACCCTTCCCCGCAGGTCGCCCTGACCGCGCGAGCGGTGGGCCCCGGCGGGACAGGAGGACGCGGGCGGTGGGGGGGGGGGGAAGGCACAGGGCGCCCTCCCCGCAGCGCCGCCGGCCCCCGCGCGCCGAGGCAGAGCCGCCGCAGTCGAGGATTAGCGCGCTCGCGGCCGGCGCTGCGGGATTAACCCGCGTGGACTGGGCGCCCGGCCCGGGGATTACTGCGCGCTCCCCCCCTCGACGTATATATTTCAGCGGCGGCGGCGGCGGCGGCGGCGGCCGGGCCGGGCAGGGCATGGCGGCAGCGGCGGGGGCCCCCGGGCGGCCCTGCCCCTTCTCCATCGAGCACATCCTCTCCAGCCTGCCCGAGCGGAGCCTCCCGGCCCGGGCCGCCTGCCCACCGCAGCCCGCCGGTGGCCAGAGCCCCACCGAACCAGAGGAGCCCGGGGCGCCAGAGGCTGCGCCCTGCGCCTGCTGTTGCTGCTGCAGCCCCCGCGCGGGGCCCTGCGGGTCCCCAGAGGCGGCAGCCGGGCTGAGTGAGTAGGCGCTGGGCGGGGCGCGGGGCGGGGCGCGGGGCCCGGCTGGGGAGCCCGGGACGCAGCGCGGTGGGTGCCGAGCTTGGCCCCAGCCCCGCGCCTCACCGCGCCCTCGCTCCACAGACGCTCGTCTGGCGTGGCCGCTGAGGCTGGGACCCGCGGTGCCCTTGTCCCTGGGTGCGCCAGCTGGAGGTTCCCGGGCGCTCCCGGGCCCGGTCGGCCCGGGTTCGCAGCGGCGCACGCGGCGCCACCGCACCATCTTCAGCGAGGAGCAGTTGCAGGCGCTCGAGGCGCTCTTCGTGCAGAACCAGTATCCTGACGTGAGCACGCGCGAGCGCCTGGCCGGCCGCATCCGCCTTCGCGAGGAGCGCGTGGAGGTGGGTGCCCCGCCCAGCCTCTCCCCAGAGCGCGCGGGCCGCGGCTACACTGCACTGGGTCCTGGCGGGCGGGCGCCCTTTGCAAAAACGGCCTCGGCCCAAGCCCTACCCTGGCGCGCCGGAGGTCCCTGGAAGGTGCTGGGCGTCCAGGGGGACGAGGAGCGGGTGAGGGCGGGCAGGTGTCGCGGGAAAGGGACGGGAGGGCTACTTTTGTTTTACACTTTATCCTGATGACGAAAGAGGCGCGCCTTCACGTCCCGAATTTGGGATATTCAGAAGGGCCCTGAACCCAAGAAGGGGCGTCCTGTTCGCCGCCAGCTGGAGGCTGGGGCGGGTACGAAGGGGGTTCCCATCTCGCGTTCAGACCCACCGAGTCTGTCCGCAGCGAATAAGAGCAGGTGGCGCGCAGCCGCTGCCGGTTGCCGGCTCTGCAGCGCCGTCCGCCCACGCCCCTGTCGCGAAGCTCCCTTGTCGGTCCCTGTGGGAGCCTCGGGAGCCGGTGGGACGCGGGACCTGGGCTGGGGCTGAACATTCTCCCCATTCCCAGGTCTGGTTCAAGAACCGCCGGGCCAAATGGCGACACCAGAAGCGCGCGTCGGCTTCCGCGAGGCTCCTGCCCGGCGTCAAGAAGTCCTCCAAGGGGAGCTGCTGATGACTCTAGGAGCTGCCCCTGGGCTCGGCCACCCTTTTTGGGGTCTTTGGAGTTGGCCCTGGGAGAAGACAGATCTACCCGAAAAGGAACTGGGAGAGTATACCCGTCTGCTCCGCCCGTCTCCACAGCCCTTGCTTCCTGCAGCTTGTACCCTAAAGACAGCTGTACCCTAAACACTCCTCGCTGGGAAGGAAGGACCCCAGCCCAGGGCCCCTGGTGCATGGTGTTCCACGGTAGTGGGAGTGGGGAGTCCCTTGGGGGGTGGGCTGGGGCATAGAGCAGCTTCCTCACCCCCTCATCACCCCAGGAGACACTAACTCCACCCCAGGAGGAGAACCACTCCGTATCAACACTGGACCCAGAATCCTCCGCAGCGGAGCCTCTCTCCGCACCCTGGGACATGCTGGCCTCCCTCTTCTCAATGTGAACATTGACCCAACTTGACCTGGCCCGCCCTCCCGCAGCGGGAAGCGGGGTGGGGTTCGTGTCTGTACAGTCCTGGGGTTGCAGGCTTCCCAGGCCCTGGGCTGACTCTTGGTATCTGGACCTGTAGGATAAGAAGGTCGCAGGAGCGATTCCAGGAGCCCCTCCCCAGTCCCTTCACCTTCACCTTCGAGCCTCGCGCTGATACTGAGAAACAAGCAACTTCAGATACCACAGAAGCCGCCCAGAGTCTAAAGTCCACCTTGGCTCCACCCTCACAACCAACAAGGAGCTGTCCCTTCTTCCTTCCTTCGCAGCGAGGGGAGTTTAGGGTACAGCTGTCTTTGAGAGGAGCACAGCTTTGCGAGGCCTCAGTCTCTGCACCAGGGTGCTCCCCAGCAGAGGAGACTGCTCCATGGATGGTGGCCTTGGGCCCCTGGGGTCCAGCCCTGGCCTCTGGGCTACTGTGAACCTGCCCATGGGTGGGGGTCCCCTGCTTCCTCCTGGGGTTTTCATGCTGTGGGGTCGGCCTCCCTCACAGCAATCTCTGCCATCCTAGGGTAGGGCAAAAGGAGATTGGATTGGGGAGACCCCACCCCTGCTGCCTAGGAAGATGCCTGCCTTCCCCTTCTTTGTCCTGGCCCATGGCAAAAGGCACCCTGCGAAGAAGCCTTCGATTCTCCAAGTAGGCCCTACAGTGGGTCCAAAGCATCTCACATCCCCTTCAGCTGGCTTGAGCACCTCGCTCTGTCACCTTACAGGCCGTGCAGGAAACGGGGCAGTTCTCCCTGCAGGAAACGAAATCCATCTCTAAAAGCAGGACTGCAGAAGCCAGGGCTGCAGCTCCTCGGACACCCCAAGGCTGGCCAGCTTGGATAACACCAATCAAGCATGGTGTCCCCAGTCAGAACTGCCCTGACACTGCTGGGTGTCCCTAGCATTCCCGCCTCCACCCCTAGCATGCACACTGCTGGTTGTCACAAAACCCTTCTCCCTGAACCCTGGTCTTGCCCTCGGGGACTGAACAGACGACCTGTGGACATGCCCGTGTCCTGGTCAGCTCCCTTGCAGGTGGGGACACTCCCATCTGGCGGGTTCCAGGCCCCTCGCACTCCTTGGTTGAATGGCCATCTGTCATTGTGTCGGGAGCCCTGATCAGAGCTTGTGGAGCGCCACCTTCCAGGGCTCAGTGGCTGTGTTGCTCTCCTGAATTTGCTCCTTGAGCTCTAGCTGCTCCTTGGCAGGCTGACCCCCCTCCAGCAGGCTGTTAACATAGGCATCCTTCAGGCTCACACCCAGGCGCTCACTTCTCATCTTCACCCTCTCCCCGGTTTATCTTTTACCCTCGGACTCCAGTTCCCATCTTTCTGCCACATTTACATCTCAAGCTCAGGCCCTTCCCCTGAGCCAGGTATTTATCTCCAGCTGTCTGCTTGAAGCCCACAGACTCCTTAAGGTCACCTTGTCCACAGTGAGCTCTTCTGTGCAAACCAGGCACATGAGCCAAAGAGCCAGCAGTCACTGGACCCCTCCTTCTCCTGATCATCCACTATACCCAGGCTGACAGGAAGTCAATTTTACTGTTTATCAATAAATTCCAGAATCTCTTCAGCTCTAACTGTACCAGTCTGATGTAAGCCACCGTCACCTCTCACCTTGACCACTGCCAACTGTTTCCAGTCTTGTCCACCTGCACCCACACTGGCTCTGCTTTTTTGTTGGTTGGTTTGTTTGAGACAAGGTCTCGCTCTGTCACCCAAGCTGGAGTGCAGTGGTGCAATCACGGCTCACTACAGCCTCCAGCTCCTGGGCTCAAGTGATCCTCCCGCATCAGCCTTTTGAGTAGCTAGGACCACAGGTGGGCACCACCACACCTGGCTAACTTGAAAAATATTTTGTAGAGATGAGGTCTTGCCATGTTGACCAGGCGGGCCTCAAACTTCTGGCCTCAAATGATCCGCCAGCCTAGGTCTCCCAAAGTGCTAGGATTATAGGCATGAGCCACTGTTCCTGGCCTGTCCCTTCAATTCAGAATAAAGACAAACCACCTCACCATACCCCACGAGGCCCCGTGCAGCCTGGCCCTGCCTCTCTGGCATCATCTCACACCTCACTGCACTGTGCATTTCCAAAGGACTTCTTGGGAACTTGCCTTGCTCCCTCCCACCACTAGGCCTTTGCACATGCTCTTTCCACCTGACCACTGCCTGTTTGTTCATCTTTTGAATCTGCAATCACTTTCTGCCTGGGGAAACTTCTCTGACCTCCCAAACTAGGTCAAGATTCCCCGAGTACAAACTCTTTTCTTGCAAGGACACAGCTGCAATTTTACACCTGTTTGTGTGATGATCTAACAAGTGTCTGTCTCCCCCATTGCCCTGTCACTTGTACCAGGGCAGCAGCAGCATGCTGCACTTCAGTGAATGAAGGTATGCTTGTATGTTGCAAAAGCAAAATTGTATTAAATTGTTCCAGGGCAGAATTTATTTGTCTGACATAATTCACATCTTCCGTTTGGGGAGAAATTCCTTAAATTTTCTGGTCCACTTGAATGTTAATTTTTTTTTTTTTTTTTTTTTTTTGAGACGGAGTCTCGCTCTGTCGCCCAGGCTGGAGTGCAGTGGCGCAATCTCGGCTCACTGCAAGCTCCGCCTCCCAGGTTCACGCCATTCTCCTGCCTCAGCCTCCCGAGTAGCTGGGACTACAGGCGCCCGCCACTGCGCCCGGCTAATTTTTTCTATTTTTAGTAGAGACGGGGTTTCACCATGGTTTGGATCTCCTGACCTTGTGATCCGCCCGCCTCGGCCTTCCAAAGTGCTGGGATTACAGGCGTGAGCCACCGCGCCCGGCCAATTTTTTTTTTGGACAGAGTTTCACTGTCACCCAGGCTGGAGTGCAGTGGCACAATCTCTGCTCACTGCAGTTTCCGCTTCCTGGGTTCGAGTGATTCTCCTGCCTCAGCCTCCCAAGTAGCTGGGACTACAGGCACCTACCACCACGCCCAGCTAATGTGTGTGTGGCTGGAGTGCAGTGGCACAATCTCTGCTCACTGCAGTTTCCGCTTCCTGGGTTCGAGTGATTCTCCTGCCTCAGCCTCCCAAGTAGCTGGGACTACAGGCACCCACCACCACGCCCAGCTAATGTGTGTGTGTGTGTGTGTATACATATTTTTTTTTAGTAGAGTTGGAGTTTCACCATGTTGGCCAGGCTGGTCTCAAACTCCTGACTTCAAGTGATCCACCTGCCTGTGCTTCCCAAAGTGCTGAGGTTACAGGTATGAGCCACTGTGCCTGGCCTTGAATGAGAATTATCCCTCTTCTGGGAAGCCCACTATGGCATTTGGGGGCCCAATAATCTCTTTTATTTTTATTTTTATTTTTTGACAGAGTTTCACTCTTGTTGCCCTGGCTGGAGTGCAGTGGCGTGAACTCAGCTCACTGCAACCTCTGCCTACTGGGTTCAAGTGATTCTCCAGCCTCAGCCTCCCGAGTAGCTGGGACTACAGGCACCCGCCTCCACCACCATGCCCAGCTAATTTTTTGTGTGTGTGCGTGTTATTTTTTTATTTTTTATTTTTTTTTGAGACGGCGTCTTGCTCTGTCCCCCAGGCTGGAGTGCAGTGGTACGATCTCGGCTCACTGCCATCTCTGCTCCCGGGTTCACGCCATTCTCCTGCCTCAGGATTCAAGTGCCTCCTGGGTTCAAGCAATTCTCCTGCCTCAGCCTTCCGAGTAGCTGGAACTAGGCGCTAGCCACCATGCCCCGCTTATTTTTTTTTGTATTTTTAGTAGAGACAGGGCTTCACCATGTTAGCCAGGATGGTCTCCATCTCCTGACCTCGTGATCCACCCGCCTCGGCCTCCCAAAGCGCTGGGATTACAGGCGGTGAGCCACTGCGCCCGGCCTTTTGTGTGTTTTTAGTAGAGATCGGGTTTCATCTTGTTGGCCAGGCTGGTCTCGAACTCCTGACCTCAGGTGATCCGCCCCTCTTGGCCTCTCAAAGTGCTGGGATTCAGAATAATCTTTAGACATTTCTTAATTGATCCACTGTCTTGTTCTTTCTTTTATCTTTTGTTAGATAGCTATAAAAAAAGATTGTTTTGGCCGGGCGCGGTGGCTCACGCCTGTGATCCAGAGACCAGCCTGACCAACATGGAGAAAACCTGTCTCTACTAAAAATGCAAAATTAACTGGGCGTGGTGGCCCATGCCTGTAATCCCAGCTTCTCGGGAGGCTGAGGCAGGAGAATCCCTTGAACCCGGGAAATCCGGTGAGCCGAGATCGCACCATTGCACTCCAGCCTGGGCAACAAGAGCGAAACTCCATCTCAAAAAAAAAAAAAAAAAAAAAAAAAAATTGTTTTAAGGCCCTTTTTTTGCATAAAGCTTGAAACTCCTATATAAACACATTTCCTCGTGTGTATTTTTTTTGAATAATCTCGAAGCATACATAGTTCTTACCTGTGGGAAATTAGAATTCTAAGGCCTTTGGGCACCGTAAAGCTAGAATTTTTCGCGTGAAGAACACGCCCCATAGCACCCGCCCCCCGCCACCTCCACAGCACCACCTCGTGTTCACAGCATTGACAAGCATGAATAGCGCGGGGCAGGACAAAGACTACAACTCCCATAATGTCTAGCATTTGTAGTGACGTCAGTACGGAGCGCGGGCTGGCTTTGTAGAGCCACAGCTTTTCCATTGGCCAACTATTGGAGGCGCCTGCGCAAATGATGCAATCCCGCCCCCTCCACCCTGTGACGCGCCTGGGGTGCCCGAGGTTTTTCCTGGGATAGCGATGGAGACTCCGGGCGCATCAGCTTCGTCCTTGTTGCTCCCCGCCGCGTCCAGGCCCCCGAGGAAGCGCGAGGCGGGAGAGGCTGGGGCTGCGACGAGCAAGCAGCGGGTCCTGGACGAGGAAGAGTATATTGAGGTGCGACCTCGGTGCGGACGCCGGCGACTTCTGGGCCCCTCCCCTGCTTCACGCTCCCCTCGGGTTCCCTTTCTCGGGTCTTGACGCTCCGTCTCCTCTTGGAAGTGGAGGAGCCGGAGTCCCTGCCCTTGGGGTGTGGACGGTCCCACGAGTCAAGTAAACAGGGCAGAGGAAGACGTCTGTGGTGGAAGAGGCTGTAGCAGTGTTGTCAGGGAAAAGAGGGAGCGGTTCTCTTTCTGTGGGACGGGGGTCAGGGAAATAAGATTTTCTGTTAAAGTGTAAGAGTTTGACACACTGGAAGGATGGTGGCAAAGAGGGCTTTCTAAAGAGCGGTGGCATCAAGTATGAATGCTGGGGTTCCAGGAAAAAGCCTGCAGTTGTAACAGCATCTCGAGTGAGTGGACCTCCGTCGCCCCACCACAAGCTCACAGAAGGAGCTGAAACGGGGATTGGCGGAAGTTAGTTTGGTTTTAGACCTGTGTAATTCGGGACACCTTTTGGGATATGTAGATGAGTGGCTTTAACGGACGGTTGGGTGCCCAAATTCGCAGCTCGGGAGCAAGGTCTGGCTGGAGGTGCAGACTTGGGAATCTCAGCCGGTGCTAGTGACTGGCTGAAGTTACTCAGCAAAAAGGTTTGTTTTTATTTTATTTTTTGAGGCGGAGTCTCGCTCCTGCCTCAGCCTGCCGAGTAGCTGGGACTACAGGTGCCCGCCACCACGCCTGGCTAATTTTTGTATTTTTAGTAGCGGCAGGGTTTCACCATGTTGGCCAGGCTGATCTCGAACTGCTGACCTCAGATGATCCTCCCGCCTTAGCCTCTCAAAGTGCTTGGATTACAGGCGTGAGCCACCATGCCCCGCCAGGAAAAAGGTTTAGATTGGAAATAGAAAGTCATGTGTGGAATGAAAGTGATAATACCCACGTTGGTCTGGCTGGTGGGCAGCCAGCAATGGAGAATGAGAATGACCAGTTAGCAAGGGCGAGAGAGAAGAGTTTCACGGACATCAGAAGAGTGTTTAGTGATGTTAGAGGTTGCAGCATGGCAACCATATGGGATGCTCAACCTGGCTAGAAAGTGCCCTCAAGCTCCCTCAAGCCAGGCCCAATCACTGGGGAAGCAGAATTTGAAGGAGTGGACTCTAAGGCAGGAACGCCCAGACGGCAACTCAAACTTTCTTTTTTTTTGAGACAGTCTTGCTCTGTCACCCAGACTGGAGTGCAGAGGCATGATCTCGACTCACTGCAACCTCCACCTCTCGGGTTTAAGCGATTCTCCTGCCTCAGCCTCCCAAGTAGCTGGGACTACAGGTGGCTGCCACCATGCCTGGCTAATTTTTTGTATTTTTAGTAGAGATGGGGTTTCATCATGTTGGCCAGGCTGGTCTGGAACTCCTGACCTCGTGATCCACCTGCCTTGGCCTCCTGAAGTGTTGGAATTACAGGCATGAGCCACTGTGCCCAGCCTCTGACCTTCATTCTGATCTCTCCTTGCAGGGCCTCCAGACAGTCATCCAAAGGGATTTCTTTCCTGATGTGGAGAAGCTCCAGGCACAGAAGGAGTACCTGGAAGCCGAGGAGAATGGAGACTTGGAACGGATGCGCCAGATTGCCATCAAATTTGGCTCTGCCTTGGGCAAGATGTCCCGGGAGCCCCCGCCACCCTGTATGAGGACCCTGTGGGTAGTGGAGAGGGGAAAGCCTGCTGAACTGTTGCTTCAGGCTACTCTAATTCTCATCCCCCTCTCTTCCCTTAGACGTGACTCCAGCCACGTTTGAAACCCCTGAGGTGCACGCGGGCACTGGAGTGGTGGGCAATAAGCCCAGGCCCCGCGGCCGAGGCCCGGAGGATGGTGAGTGAGGATGCCCTCTTTCAGTCACCTGGTCAGGATTGCCTGGGAATCTTAGCCTGTGAGGCCCTGAGGGGGTGCTCCAGAGGGCTGCAGGTCACATCTTATTCCTGAGGGGTCTTGCCTAAATAGCAGCCTGTGAAGTCAAAGGACGTTGGTCTAACTGTTAAACATTTGGGTCCAGCTCCCACACGTGACTCGCCTCTGTGAAATGGGACTCTCGCTAGCTCTCACTGGCTTTTCGGCTGTGTTCCAGCCCTGCCCTGTGGGCTTCATGGATGTTGGAAGGCCCCTTTTGTCACTATCCTGAAGACGCCTCAGGGCCTCTCCATTTGTTTCCTTCATATTGGTTGCTTCCCAGATAACTGCATGGCTCGCTGCTTTTCCTCCTATAGATCTCTGTATAGATGTTACCTGTTCAGAGAAACCTTTCTTGACCTGCCACTGTAAAGTCACAACACCACTGGTGCTCTGTGGCTTCCAGCCTGGCTTTGGTTTTTCATCACAAGACATTTCATTTTATTTTATTTTATTTTATTTTACTTTATTTTTTATTTTTTGACACAGAGTCTCACTCTGTCACCCAGGCTGGAGTGCAATGGTGTGATCCCAGCTCACCGCAACCTCCACCTCCTGGATTCAAGCAATTCTCCCTGCCTTAGCGTCCCAAATAGCCGGGATTACAGGCTCCTGCCACCACACCTGGCTAATTTTTGTATTTTCTAGTAGAGACGGGATTTTGCCATATTGGCCCTGCTGGTCTTGAACACCTGCCCTCAGGTGATCTGCCTGCCTTGGCCCCCCCGGAGTGCTGGGATTACAGGTTTATACCTTAATATACAAGGCTTACGCCACCGCGTCTGGCCGAGACATAACATTTTAAAGGGATTACTATTTATGGTCTCTTTCCCTAATTGGCATCGCTTGCATAAGAGCAGAAGCGTTATTTTGCTTTCATCCGTATGCTGTGTTGGGAACAGCACACGTGGTATTGTGGGCCTTGCACAGGTACACGTGGAACAGATGAAAGTTGTCATCTTCAGCATGTTTGCTGGGACACACAGGTCTATATGGTGACATCGTGACTTGATGGGGGAGTCCGTTTAGGAAAGGGCACTCCGAGTCCTGTTGAATGTAAGTGTTCTGCACGCCATGGGACTTCCGCATGGTCAGGCCCTCTTTTAATCAGTAGTAGAACGTCAGTGCACGTATGGACGAATGAGATGCTCTTTCCTATCAGTTTCTAGACTCCAGTGTGCTGGAACAGCACAGATGTGTTGTATGTTTGCACAAACATGATATTTTTTGCTTTACAATTCAGCTTTTTCGGCCATTAACACAGTCCTTGTTGTCCTTGAAACTTGATTATCTGTTGAAATGTAGCTTGTGCATCACAGGACAATTTGTAGATTTTTTTCTTCCTTTTTTTCCCTATAGAGATGAGGTTTCATTATGTTGCCCAGGCTGGTCTTGAACTCCTGAGCTCAAGTGATCCTCCCACCTCAGCCTCCCAAAGTGCTAGGATTACAAGTGTGAGCCATCATACGTAGCCAATTTGCAGATTTTCAATACCTATACACCTACATGCCAGTAAATACAGGAATCCTTTTCAGAACCTAAGTGGTAGGAGTCATCATCGCATTTACAGGTGAGGAAGCTGAGGCTCAGAAAGGGAGTCACTTCTGCAGGTCTCAGCGATGGTCAGGGTTTCACTTCTTATCTCTCTGAGATGAATGGGGTTTCACTTCTTATCTCTCTGACCCCTGTCCTCATCCCTTGGGTCTTGAACTTGTAGCCACTGTGCCTTGTGCATAGCCTCGCGTGTAGCAGGTGGTCAGGACTGTCACTAGACTTGAAGGCAAAGCTCTCCAGGTGGCCCCACTGAAGTTTGCACCACCACACGCAGCACCAGGGCACCACCTCAGTGGGGGTACCACTTTCCATGGTGGCAGGCTTGGTGTCGAGGTGTTTGGGGTTGTGGCTTAGCACCTGTGAGGCCCCATCCAGAGGACCGGGTCATATGGGGTCCCTGGAATTGGGGCTGGCTCTCAGGTCAGGATGATTAGGCGATGACCACCCACCTGTAGTACAGGTACTGGGAAGAGAAGAGTGGTTAAATTAGTAAGGAAATCCTAGGAAGTGAGGGAGAGCCCCCGAGGATTTGGAGGTACATCCCACAGGGCTGGCACCACTTTGGTGGGGGAGGAGCCTGCCTGTGATCACGAGCTCTTACTCTAACTCCTGTGTTGCTCCCTCCAGTCTGAATCAGACTATGTAATTCCCTTGGCATCCAGCACATGGGCGGAGCTAGCCCTGCATCTGTAGAGCACCACCTGAAGGCTCTCTGGGCAGTCAGAGTGGGTGGATTCTGCCCCCATGGGGAGTCCTTGGCAGTGTAGGCTCTCATGGGCAGAAGCCAGGACCAGGGGAGAGGATTCCAGCACTGCATGTTGGGGGCTGTGATTCCTGGGCCTGGGTGTCGTCCTCTTTCCTGACTGCAAAGGGTGCTGTGTTCCTCCTCCCGCAACCCCTAAGCAGGAGAGGCTGGAGAGGAGGAGGAGAAGGAGCCACTGCCCAGCCTAGATGTCTTCCTGAGCCGCTACACGAGTGAGGACAATGCCTCCTTCCAGGAGATCATGGAGGTGGCCAAGGAGAGGAGCCGGGCACGCCACGCTTGGCTCTACCAGGCTGAGGAGGAGTTTGAGAAGGTGTCTTTGGGGTCTTGGGTGTCACATAGGCGTAGGCACTCTCTGTGGTGGTTGGGGGAGCCCCAGGGCCGTGGGTACAATGCCCAGGGGCATCTCTGACCATCAGTTTTCCCCATGTGATTGCAGAGGCAGAAAGATAATCTTGAACTCCCGTCAGCAGAGCACCAGGCCATCGAGAGCAGCCAGGCCGGTGTGGAGACCTGGAAGTACAAGGCCAAGAATTCCCTCATGTACTATCCAGAGGGTAAGCAGCGGGCCTGGCAGCCAGATGGGGAGGTGTTGGGTAGAGCTGCGTGTGTCTGGCTCTGTGTTTGGAGCAGGCTTCCAGGTGTGTATGTCCGTGCCCCCTTGCAGTTTGGGCCTCCGAGGGGTACTGGTCTGTCTCAGAGTGGACAGGTCTGTGTGAGGTCAGCAGTGAGTGAGGCCAGCAGTGAGTGAGGCCCTCTCCAGCAGCACCAGGGCCTGCGTTCTGCTCAGTGCTTCTGTTCATCTGGGAGTGACTTGGCCGAGAAGCGAGCTCCTCATGCTCCTTAGGCTGCTGCCTTTCTGACACCTGCTGCTACCTTTGCTTCCTCTGCCAGGTGTCCCTGATGAGGAGCAGCTGTTTAAGAAGCCCCGGCAGGTGGTGCATAAGAACACGCGCTTCCTTAGGGATCCCTTCAGCCAAGCCCTGAGCAGGTGCCAGCTCCAGCAGGCAGCCGCCCTCAATGCCCAGGTGAGTGGCGGGTCAGCAGGGTCACATGCGCCAGGCGGGGCAGGGCTGCCTGGGGGTAGGCACGATCTCTCCCATGTCCTTGAGCTTGGCGGAGCTCAGTGAGTGGAACCATCTGCGGCCCTGTGTGGCAGGGTCCTGAGTCTTTCCTCAGCCCCAGTGGGCTTCCATTGAACACTGCCTTGGTCACACACGTTCTGTAGGTCCAGATCTGTGCCAGCTCCCTTGATGGCAGGGGCATGAGAGAAAAGGGGCTGCTGGGAGCGAGTCCAGGCTGGCCGCTGCATGCGCACACGCCAGGCAGGGAAGCCAGCGAGTAGCAGAGGGAGCCCAGGCCCCGGGGGTGGCTGGGGTAAGACAGGGCCTGGGTTGGCAGAGAGCAGAGGCTGTCTGAGTCTGGGGGCAAGATGAGTGGACACTCTGACAGTGACTGTGGCAGTCACACGGTTGAAGTGGAGAAGGCAGGAAGAGACTAGAGTATAAGTCCTGTCTGTCGTCAGCATTGCCCCCTGCAGAGGCCTGGCATCAGCATCCTCTGGAGTCGCTGGGATAGGCGCAGCTGGAGCTGAGCCCTGGCACCTCCCTGGATGGGAGGAGGGGCTTCCCTCGCTCAGGTGCCCACTTTGACAGGCCCTCAAAGTCTTTGGGGTGGTTGGGGCAGGGGCCCTCCCTCTCTTTCTCCAAGAAGGCTGCCAACGTCAGAGCCCCAGCCTTGCCTTGAGGAGAGGAAGTGTTTCCAGCATGTTCCTATGTGTTTGCCCACTAGCCCGCTGTCGAGCGTGGGCTGCAGTCCCCCTGATGCCAGCCTCTCTGCTTGTTCCAGCACAAACAGGGCAAGGTGGGCCCTGATGGCAAGGAGCTGATCCCCCAGGAGTCCCCTCGAGTGGGTGGATTTGGATTTGTTGCCACTCCTTCTCCTGCCCCTGGTGAGAAAAGTGCCCACTGGCAAGTGGCCTACTGCTGGGACTCCCTGGGAGAGGTGGGCTTCTCAGTCGGCCCTGGCCACTCTCGGCCTCCACCTGGCCTGCCCCACACGTTGTGTAACTCAGGGACCTGGTCTCCTGTCTGTACAAGGCCTTAGAGGCCAGGTGTCCAGGCTGCTTGGGGCCATGGGCGGGCTGGACTCTCAGGCAGACCTGACCCGAGATGTCCTGGGGTGATGTGTTCTGTCCTGGTCCTTGCTGTGATGTCAGCAGGTGGGGGTGTGTGCACAGTGCTTATGAGTCTAAGTCTACCTAGCACTGCAGGGAGGGAGGCTCGGCACCTCAGGGGGCAGGTGACACTCAGGTGGTCCCGTGGCATGCATGGGTGCCCCTCCTGCAGTCTGGCCTCTGTGCTTTTGGGTGCTGGTGCTGTGTCACAGGTCAGGGCATGTGAAGGCACCACAGGTTTGTCCGGGGTTCTAGGAGGTTTGGGAGCCCTGGAAGGCCTGAGTGTCTCCTCCCGCATGGCTGGGGGAGACCTCCCAGAGGCTCGTAGGCTAAGCACATGGCTGTAGGGCCTTGAGCCTGCCTCGGGCCTGCTAGGAGCTTGGCATTTCCCTTTCGGAGGATGGAGGTGCCAGGGTTCCAGAGTCCTGGGAAAGGAGAATGGGCTAGCTGCCTGTATTCATGTTAGCTGGGATGCACATTGGGTGAACAGGCTGTGACTGGAGGGGAGGGTGGTGGGGAGTCCTCTGGCCTGAGACGGTTTTGGGCTCTTTATTTGCAGGTGTGAACGAGTCCCCAATGATGACCTGGGGGGAGGTTGAGAACACACCGTTGAGAGTTGAAGGGTCGGAAACCCCCTACGTGGACAGGACACCGGGCCCAGCTTTCAAGGTGGGTCGTGGTGATGGGGGAACCGTGTGTGACCGGGGTGGACACCTCTAGAGCCCTGAGTGCCTGTGGCTCAGGACTGAGCACTGGAATCGGCCCCCAGCTGCTGACAGGCAGAGTGCTGGCTTTTCTGAATGCCAGGGCACCGAAGGCAGGTGTGGGTGGGTGGACCTGTCACAGAGGGATTTGGGGGTGTGAGGGCTGAGACACCAAGGCAGGGAGTGGCTTGGGCCCTGTGGATCCTGGAGGCCGGGTGCTGTTCACGAGTGAGGGAGGATAGTCACAGACACGTCAGGAGCTCTGCAGGCCTGAGGACCACGGGACGCGGCTGTGTGCTTGCAGAGGAAGGCCCCTGGTTACAGAACATGACTGGGGCACGCTGGATGACACGGCTCAAGCCTGGTGTTGTAGGAGTGGTCAGGGTGGAGTGTGTGAGAACCGGCACAAACCAGGGGAGGCTCTTCGTGGGCTGGGTCAGGTGCAACAGGCCTCCCCGTACCACTGCGGGGCTTTCCCCAGAGTACTTAGTAGAGGTAACCCATGTCCAGACAAAACATGGGGAGAGGTTTTGGTTACTTTGGTTCTGAATTGTCTGGGATGCAAGGATAACTAAGGCAGGCATGCGAGAGGGATAATGAAGAGGATGCTATGCTGTCAAATGTGAGAGCATAAGGCAAGGGCTGAGGTGCTTCCAAGGTGCGCCTGCCACTGCTTCCCGAGTCTCCAGGCCAACGGAAATTGTGAAATCATGAGTCAGAATTTAGGGCTCGATAAAGATGGCAACTCAAATTGCACTGAATAGCAGAGTATTTAGAAATGAAGGAAGCTGGGTCCTTAGGATGTGTAGCAGCATACATTCTGGAAAGGTGAAAAGGTTACATGTAAAAACAATAACCATAAAACAACTAGAAGAAAATAGTGGCGAGTATTTAGTTTGTTTTTTTTTTTTTTTTTTTTTTTTTTTTTGAGACGGAGTCTCGCTCTGCCGCCCAGGCTGGAGTGCAGTGGCCGGATCTCAGCTCACTGCAAGCTCCGCCGCCCGGGTTCACGCCATTCTCCTGCCTCAGCCTCCCGAGCAGCTGGGACTACAGGCGCCCGCCACCTCGCCCGGCTAGTTTTTTTGTATTTTTAAAGTAGAGACGGGGTTTCACCGTGTCAGCCAGGATGGTCTCGATCTGACCTCGTGATCCGCCCGTCTTAGCCTCCCAAAGTGCTGGGATTACAGGCTTGAGCCACCGCGCCTGGCCTAGTTTGATTTTTTTTTTTTTTTTTTTTGAGATGGAGTCTCGCTCTGTTGCCCAGGCTGGAGTGTGGTGGCGTGATCTCGGCTCACTGCAACGTCCACCTCCTGGGTTCAAGTGATTCTCCTGCCTCAGCCTCCCGAGTAACTGGGACTACAGGCATGCGTCATCATGCCCGGCTTATTTTTGTATTTTTAGTAGAGATGGGGTTTCACTATGTTGGCCAGACTGGTCTCGAACTCTTGACCTTGTGATCCACCCACCTCAGCCTCCCAAAGTGCTGGGATTACAGGTGTGAGCCACCATGCCTCGCCTTTATTTATTTATTTATTTTAAACAGATAGGGTTTCACTGTGTTGTCCAGGCTGGAGAACAGTGGTGCAATCGTAGCTCCTTGTAACATTGAGCTCCTGGGCTCAAGTGACCCTCCAGCCTCAGTCTCCTGAGTAGCTGGGACTAACAGCACACACCACCACACCCAGCTAATTTTGTGTATGTGTGTGTGTGTAGAAAAGAGGTCTCGTCATGTTGCTCAGACTGGTCTCCAACACCTGAGCTCAAGTGATCCTCCTGCCTTGGCCTCCCAAAGTGCTGGGGTTCCAGGTATGAGCCACCACTCCCAGCCTGTAGTCTAATCTTAAGTTAGGGAGGACTCTCTAAACAAAAGCAAAGGAGGAAATCACAAATGAAAATAACAAATACAGCAGAAAATGTTATAAGTGAAACAAGGGCAAATAACTGAAAACACATATGCACGGTGTAGCGCAGTTGACTTGACACAGGGTCTTGGCGAGGGTCTTCTGAGTGACAGCAGCAGAAAAGGAAAATGAGCCCCTTGAGAGTAAAATAGGCCACAGACACGTGGGGAAGCGCCCAAAATACAGAGTGCCGATAAGACAGAGATGTTCACGCCGATAATCAGGGAAACGTTAAAACAGACCTCTTGTTCCTGAGAGGTTGTCAGAGGTCATGGCTTTGGGAGGAACAGGAAGACAGGTGAGGAGTGCTGGGCCCTGGGCAGGTCAGGCAGGGTTGGGGGCTTTCCAGGGGCTTTTAGTGGGAGGTGATGGTGGGTTGTGGGGGTTTTGTAGGCAACAAAGAGAGGCTGGCAGCCACCACAGTGGCTTTCTGTGCGAGGGGCTGCCTGGCATGTGGCAGGCCTGGCACAGCTACCCACACGCCTGCTACCTTGTAGATCCTGGAGCCGGGCCGCAGGGAGCGGCTGGGGCTGAAGATGGCCAACGAGGCTGCCGCCAAGAACCGGGCCAAGAAGCAGGAAGCCTTGCGGAGAGTGACGGAGAATCTGGCCAGGTGAGGGGCCGCCTGGCTGGTGGGGAAGTGTGAAGGTAGCTCTGGCCTGCTCCTGCTTGGCCCCTGCCCTGACGGTGTGGAGGCATGGCCCATGCGGCAGAGTCCAGGGCAGGTCTGTGGGGTTCTGCAGTGGGTACTGTGGCAGCTCCTCCATCCAGAGCACGGCCACACATGGACAGGATGAGAGGCACCCTCCATCTTCTCTTTCCTCCACGTCCTCTTTGGCCCGTCCCTAAGAGGCATCTTTAGGCATGTGGTCCTGCTGGGAGCTTTCATCAGCCCTGTGGAGACGGCCATCGTTCCCCTTGGAGAGGGGTGGGGACTCCAACTCTCAGAGGCCTGGGGGTCCACCCCAGCCCCCATAGCCAAGGGCAGTGCTACTGTTTGACCTCAGGTTTTTTTTTTTTTTTTTTGAGACGGAGTCTCGCTCTGTCGCCCAGGCTGGAGTGCAGTGGCGGGATCTCGGCTCACTGCAAGCTCCGCCTCCCGGGTTTACGCCATTCTCCTGCCTCAGCCTCCCGAGTAGCTGGGACTACAGGCGCCCGCCACCTCGCCCAGCTAGTTTTTTTTTTGTATTTTTTTAGTAGAGACGGGGTTTCACCGCTTTAGCCAGGATGGTCTCGATCTCCTGACCTCGTGATCCGCCCGTCTCGGCCTCCCAAAGTGCTGGGATTAGAGGCTTGAGCCACCGCGCCCGGCCTTGACCTCAGGTTTGACCTGAGTGCTGCTGTTTGACCTCAGGGATCCCCCGCATTTGCCGCCATGCCGGCAGTGCCGTCCTCCTCAGCTCAGAGTGACTGTGTCTCTGTCCAGGCTCTTCCTGGGAGCCGAGGAAGGCCCTGCTGCCGGCAGCTCTCAGCCCACCTAACCCTGCCTCTCTCGTCCATCCCTTCACCCCAGCCTCACTCCCAAAGGCCTGAACCCAGCCATGTCCCCAGCCCTACAGCGCCTCGTGAGCAGGACGGCCAGCAAGTACACAGACCGAGCCCTGCGGGCCAGCTACACACCATCCCCAGCACGCTCCACCCACCTCAAGACCCCGGCCAGTGGGCTACAGACCCCCACAAGCACACCAGCGCCTGGCTCTGCCACACGCACCCCTCTCACGCAGGACCCGGCCTCCATCACGGACAACCTGCTGCAGCTCCCTGCCCGGCGCAAAGCCTCGGACTTCTTTTAGAGCTAGGCCTGGGCTGGGCCCATAGACGCTTCATGGAGCCTGCAGGGCAGCTGTACACCCAGCAGAGGACTCCAGCCTTCTCGGGGCCCAGGCCTGGGCCAAAGCTATTTACTACACCAGGAGCCACTGGAGAAAGGGGCTGTGCTGGGGCCAGGCTGGCACAGGACGCACAGGCCCACGCCACATCCCAGGGCCTTGCCAAGCTGTTTGCTGTTTAATTGGCCCCTTGAAGTGTCATTAAAGAACACCTGGTACAGTCTGGGGGTTGCCTCTCCATCCTGCTCCCCACACAAGCCCTAGCCTTGCCCTGGGGCCTACATCGTGTCTCAGGACCGCAGGGCTTGAAGCGAGGGGCCCCCCAGGTGAGGAAGCTGCAGGTGGGGTGGCTGTGGGGGCACCGGATGACTCTGGCATCGCTTTCTGCAGCACCCGGAACCTGTGTTCTGAGCTGAGCTCACATCCTCCTGTGCTTTCTGCTCCTCTGGGGGGATGTGAAGGAGAAATGGAGCCCTTGGAAGTTGTACTCTCAGGTTCACCTGCAGTTCTGGGCCCAGGTCTGCAGCCTCCACTCTGGGCTTGCCTGCTGTGAGGTGCACTGGTTATAGGACTGTGTAGGGGCTGCATATCAGGTGATCTCAGCCGTCACCTTCTCCCAGCCCTGGCTTCCAGCTCATGGGGTGGGACTGTCCCGCTCACCTCTCTGCCGTAGGCACTGCCCATCTTATGCTGCTGGCCCTGGCCTCACCTTGTCTCTCCCACCAACAGGAGCTCCCAGATAACAGTAATGTGGGCCCCAGGCTCCATGCAGACCTGGCAGGTCCTCTGTGCACTGCGGGCACACTTGCCCATTGGCCAAGGATATGGGTGTCTGACCCTTAGGAGTCTGGTGGCCTGACGGTCCTGTGCCTGCTTTCTGCAGAGGTAGAGGGGCCCAGGTGGGCCCAAGACCAAGATCTGGCCCCCAGACCTCAAGTGGAGGGCACAGATTGTGCATTCAGGGTGGGGGTCTCACTGCTCAGGGACACACCTGGCCTCTGCTCACACTGGGATCCTTCTTGCTTTGAGTGTACATGTACCCAGCCTGTGCTAGGCGATCTTCTCTGGTCCTCTCACGCCTTTCCTAAGTGCTGAAGTTCTCTGGAGGCTGGTGCAGGGCCTGATCTCTGCCACCTACCTGGGGCCACTGCTAACCTGTGTTCCTCGATAGTGAGTTCCTGCAAGTTCCTGGGGTGGCTGAGCTCCAGATGTGCCCTGGGACCTGCAGGTGGATGTAGGGTTGCTGGACAGGTAGGATGGGACTCTTAATGGGTGGGGGATGTGGGGCCTTTGGTGCTTTATCCCATAGGAAAGGGTGCATGTTGTCCTAAGGGAGTCCCCAGGAAGTGGGGAGGGAGGGGGAGGAGCACTGTCTAGGTGCTGACCACCTCGAGCACTTGGCCAGCAAGTGGGCCACATGCTTTGGGAGCAATGGGTGACACAGCAGGAAGCACAAAAGACAGGCCAGTGCACCATCACCAAGGGCTGCTGAGCAGCTTGCAGAGCCACTGGGTGGGGAGGGCACACCGGGAGGTCTCAGCTGGGGCTGCCCCTGGAGGACTGGGCAGGGAACTTGAGGGCTGAGGACAGAAATCTCAAATGACTCCGGGAAATAGAGGAAGAGGAGGATGCTGAGCGAGGGGCTCTGAGGGAGTGGGGGTAGGTTAGAGTGGGCTGAACTGCAGGAGGCCAGGGGGAGTCGTGGACCCCTGGAGCTGGCCAGCCCCAGGGCATTGAGGAGGAGGCCAGGTCAGAGGGAGACAGTGTGGGCCTGGCAGGTGGACCCTGGCAGAGGCCCTCTCGTACCCCACAAGGCCAGGCCACACCACGAGTCTGCCTGTACCTGAGCACCTGTCCTGTGCTCCTAGGCCGGAGACCACTGTGTGTCAGGTGGGGCGGTTGGCTGAGTCCCAGAGAAAAACACTCCTCACTGGGCACTCTTGATGCTTGTACACACCCTGTGGTTTATTTGGTGGTCAGTAAAGAACGTCTTTGCTACTAAGTGGAAGAAAGCTAATGGAACGTAATCAAAATAGTGGTTTAATTGACGAATTTTACTTGCACCTGTGCCTTCTTCAGATCCTACCTGCCTACTTAGTTAATGTGAAGGCCGACTTCGCCATGCCCCCCCCACCACGACCCCCACCACACACGACGGGGTCATCATCATGCTAGGTGCTTGCTTTCCCCACCTCAGCTCCGGAGACGTGATGGTCTTTGGCCCTGGAGGTCTCGGCCAGCCTGTCCTCCACCTTGTCCTCGTTCTCGGGCACCACCAGCAGCCGGTGCTGGGTTTTGGCTCCAAGCTTGTGGTCGGGTCGGTGGTCGGGCCGGTGGTCGGGCCTCAAGCCTGGCTTGGTGTCCAGTTTGCACTCGGCGCGGTACTTGCCCTCCCCCTCCCTCTTGAAGGAGGCAGAAGACATGGCTTTGGGCTTGGGGGGCTGCAGCCACGAGTGGCTGAGGATCTCATCAATGTGGAGCCGCTGGCTGACGTCAGGCTGCAGCATGCGGTAGATGAGGTCCTTGCACTCACAGGTCAGGTTCTTGGAGCGTGGGAAGTCCACACGGTGCTCCTTCTGGATACGCAGCATCTTCCTGATGTCGGAGTCGTCGTAGGGCATGGAGCCGCAGACCATGATGTAGAGGATCACACCCAGGCTCCAGATGTCGTACACCTTGGGCTGGTAGGGGATGCCCTGCAGCACCTCGGGGGCTGCATATGCCGCTGACCCGCAGAAGGTCTTGCTGAGGATGATGCGCCCATTGCTGTCCCGCAGGCAGCGCTTGGAGAAGCCGAAGTCAGACAGCTTGATGTTGAAGTCCTTGTCGAGGAGAAGGTTCTCGCACTTGAGGTCCCGGTGGACAACGTCCAGGTCGTGGCAGTACTTGACGGCCAAGGAGAGCTGTCGGAACATCTTGCGCGCCACGTCCTCGTGCAGGGCTCCCCGGCACTTGATGAACTCGAGGAGGTCGCCCTGGACGCCAAGCTCCATGATGATGTAGATGCGCCCGTCAGAGGTCTCAAAGATCTCGTAGGTCTTGATGATGGAGCCGTGGTTGACAGTTGCCAGGATGTCCATCTCCCGAGGAAGGAATCTCTCCACAAAGTCAGTGGGTGTTTTTTTACGGTCGATGATCTTGACAGCCACATTGAACTTGAGGCGCTCAGAGTAGGCAGATTTGACTTTTGCGTAGGAACCCTTGCCAAGATTGATGCCTACGATGTAACCCTTCTTCCTTAGGACTGTGGCATCGTCCATGGTGCCAGGAGCGACTGGCGCCGCTGCCGTCTACATCCCCCCGTCACGTGGGCCAGCGGGCATTGTCCTCATTTACACTACCGGGAGGTGTCTGGCTGGGCTGGGCTGGGCTTCAACTCAGGGGTGGAACACTCAGCATTGTCTCTGGGTGACTTCAGCGAATGAACTCATAAAGCCAAGGAGTGGGGGCGGGGACTGGGCTGAGGGGGAACAGGGTTCCTGGAACCATGGAAGCCAGGCTGGTCTGGCAGGAGCGCCCGCTCCCCACCCGCTGGAAGGAAGCCTGTCCCCAGACAGGACTGTGGTAACCCTGCTGCTGCTGCTTGCATTGGTTTCCCTGTCTGTCACACAAGTCAGGCCGGAGGGGAGGCGGCCCACGTCCAGCCTGTTTCCATCACCTGGCTGTGGGGACCGACCCTGCGTTGATCTTTGTCTCACTAGGGTGGGTTTCCTGCAGCTTCTTTGGGCTATGAAAAAAAGCCCCCCTTGGGCTGTGTCCTTGGTGTGGCAGGACAGTTCTCCCTGACAGTCACCCAGACAGGCCTGCATAGCACCCCGGTTACACAGACAGATTTCCACAGCACTGCTTTAACATTGAGCACATAGTTAAATCTAGGGAAATTAGTGCCCAAACATCGAAGCTAGAAATGAAACATACAGTCAGTAGGAGCCTTGCATGGGCTTCTCTCTTGCTGGAGCCAGCCAAAATAATAGGAACGGTTTTACGTTCCTAGTGCCAGGACCCATCTCGGGTCGACAAAATCTGAAGACAAGTCAAGGTAACAGGCAGCTGTTTGAATAGATTCATTGAATAGTCTAAGGCAGCTCTCTGGACCAAGCTGTAAAGGAGATAAAATCGAAATAATCACACCCGTACCACAGTAGACAGGCCTTGAAGACAGTGGGCCCCTTTTGATCAGACTTAGCAAGCTTTTTTTTTTTTTTGCCTCTGACCTACTTGAAACAAAATCAGTTACCAGTAGACTGAGGTGATTGCTAGCACGTAGACATATAACCCCAACCTATATAAACAGAAAATCGTAACACTTGGAGTTGGTCTGGTGGAATTATCTCCAGTATGCAGTTACAGTAATAAATTCCCTTCTTTCCTAGTTTGTCTGCTGCTTGTTATTGGGCCTCAAGAAAATGCAGCTGGACCTGGCTTGGTTCTGGGAACAGTGGTACCTGGGAGGGACTGCCCTGGACCAGTCCGGCTGGCAGTGGTGCCAAGCCTGGTAGACGAAAGCGGCCCTGTGTTTGGGAGCGGAGGCGGCAGGCCCCTCAGGGTAGAGAGCCGGGCAGGTGAGTCGCTGCTGCTCCAGCGAGCAAGGGCCTGTGTATGGGTGGGTCAGGGCTGCAGTACATGCCAACTGGGTGTCCAGGGTCCAGGGCAGGTGCCTGCATGTCTGAGGGGTGGGGCAGGGCCTCCCTTGGGTAGAGGCGGCAGGAAGGCACCTGGGCAGCAGAGAGCTTGGGAGAAGAGAGGGCTTTTTCTGAGAGTGGCTGGGAAGGAGGAGGGAAGTGAAGGAGTCGGGGCTTTTTCTGTAAGTGGCAGGCCGCCGCTGCAGGTGCAGGACAGGAGAAGGGCCGTCCCAGTTGTGTTTTAAGATGGTCAGTGGCAGAGAGAGAGACAGAGTAGAACTGGCTTTGCGATGAAGGTGGGGGCCAGTGCCTTCGACCAAGTGAGAGGAGGCTGGGCCAGGGTGGGCCTCGGGATCAGCAGGAGACAGAAGGTCAGGTCTGTCTTGTTTGCTAGTCTGTCAGTGGATGGGCCCTGGTGCTGGGGAATCCTGGAGCTGATAGCACCCAGGCCATGCACTGGGAAGAGCAGGCACCTGGGTGAGGAGGGAGTTCTGAGTCATGTCAGTTTGGGCCTTTGTGTGGAGTGAGCAGCAGTCGCCTGTTGGAACCCTGACACTGAGTATCATTTGCATCTTGGGCTGCCTTTTGCACCTGGAAACAGTGTGAACATCCTGTGTCAGGGCTGGTGTGTGGATTTGTGCTTTCGGAAATGTGGCATCCTGTACATGTCTCCTCAGGTGCTTTGGACAGATGTTCATTTGTCATCCATCACAGGCATCCTGGGTCCACAGGGAGTGGCTGGGACAGACGAGCTGTGTGCTCAGCGTTCAGGGGAGAGGGAGGAAGGCCTGCTCCCAGGTGGGGTTTAGTCCTGGAAGGTTTCAAAGAGGAAGTGATGTTGGAGCTGGGGTGCTGGGAATCAACAGACTCCATGGGGTTGACAAGAGGGGCAGGACATGTCAGGCAGATGTGACATCTTGGCCCTGACATGGCTGTGTGAACCCACTCTGTCTGGAGTACACAGGGAGCACCCTGTGTCTGGAGGTCACTAGGGAAGATTGGAGAAACAGGGCGGCCAAAGTCAGGATGCCAAGCTGAGAGGCTCAGATGAGCAGGATGGGCCGATGTGCCCACAGTGACTGCCTTCCAGCAGTGACAGCCTCCCAGAGTCCCACCCGAAGCTCTTTGTAGCATCGGTGGTTAATAGCTTTAGTTTGATGCTTTCCTTTCTCCTGGGAGTCTCTATGGCTGAAATGACCAGCACTTCACTCCTTTTTTTGTCCTAGAAGGGGCTGGCTATGAAAATTTGCAGGCCAGGACCCAGGAGCATGAGAATTCCCACTTACCACCCCCTGACCCTTTCCCTTGCTCCCCTAAATGCCCTATCTGGGGCATTTCTCTGCATATCTGCTTGCCCTGCCCTTGCCCTTGCCCTTGCCCTTGCCCTTTCCTTTCCTTTCCCCTTTCCTTTCCCCTCCTTTTCCCTTTTCCTTTCCCTTTTCCTTTCCCTTCCCTTTCCCTTCCCTTTCCCTTCCCTTTCCCTTCCCTTCCCTTTCCTTTCCTTTCCTTTCTTTTCAATGGAGTCTTGCTTTGGCACGATCTCAGCTCACTGCAACCTTCACCTCCGGGGTTCAAGCAATTTTCATGCCTCAGCCTCTCCAGCAGCTGGAATTACAAGCACGCACCATGATGCCCAGCTAATTTTTGTATTTTTTAGTAGAGATGGGGTTTCACTCTATTGCCCAGGTTGGTCTCGAACTCCTGGCCTCAAGGGATCTGCCTGTCTCAGCCTCCCAAAGTGCTGAGATTACAGGCATGAGCTACCGTGCCCTGGCCAGATATCTGCCTTCTTGCTAGACTCTACCAATGCCTTCTCCCTCTTTTTGTGCATTCTACTTCACCCCCCGAGTGCCTCTCTGGTCCTTGGGGGACATGCCAGAAGAGGCAGGTGTCAACATTGCAGAGGCAGAGCTGCCCAGGCATGGAGTGGGCTGCTTCATCCAGGAAGTACACACAGGGCCGGGACTCCTGGTGTGTTTGACGGAGAGGGTTGGATTGGATCTGGGGACCTCCAGCGTTGCTCCTAGGGATGCAGTCCTGTGAGCCAGGTACCTGCACACTCTGAGAAATCCACTTCCCTCTGAACCTTCCTTTCCTTTATAAAGTAGATACCTGTTTACCCATTTGTCCCCCAGGCACTGAGGGTCTGCCCTGGGTGCTGAGGTACACTGATGAGCTAGACCACCCATGCCTTCCTGGAGCCCAGAGGCGAGGGAGGCTCAATCACACCAAGTGTGTATGCACGATGGTGGCTGTGCCACGCCTCAGAACCATGGTGCTGTGAGGACAGGGAACTGGGGATTGGACTTTGGGAAGCTGGGGAAGGCTGAGGTCTGAGGAACGAGCCAGGTGGAGGGGGATGAGGATGGCTATTACATGTGATGGTTTGAAGGGATGTGGCTTGGCAGGAACATGGACAGGCCATGGAGGGCCTTGTTGAGGTCCTGGTCCTAGCACCTCCGAGGGTCCTTGAAGGGGTCTGAGCCAGGGCTGAGCCACCTATGGGAGTCGCCCGGCATGGCGAGGCCACCTATGGGGGGGTCACCTGGGCCTCCTGCCCTGGGCAGTGTGATCTCAGACACTCTCTCTGAGCTGTTTCCAGCTGTAAAGTGCAGAGCAGGAACTCCTCCCGCAGCCCCTCCCACCCGGGCTCACCTGGCTGAGCTACAGTGAAGCTCCCAGACCTGCTTGCTGGCCACTCCCCTGAGGACCAGCGCAGGTCTGTGGGGATAACTGGGGAGGAGGGCCCAAGAGCCATTCCTCAGGATGTCCCACCCGGGCCCCCATCCCGGCACTCTGGGCTTCCTCTCCACCATGAGTTTCTTGGTGGGAAGAACAGGGTGGCCCCTCGAGGCCTGTTGGCAGAGTACAGAGTGGCAGGCTGCTGAGAACCCCTAGAAGGCTTTATGGAGGCCTCAGCCCCTCAGCTGAGCCTGGAGAGCTGGACAGAGTCTGCAGGGGCAAGTTCCCTGTATGATTATGGGCCATGTGTGTGATGGGGGCACAGTGGTGAGGCCTGGTGCCCAGAGGCCAGGGGAGGATGCATTGGGCCACAGGAGGACCCCAGAGGCCAGGGAGGTTTCTCCCCGCTGGGCAGTGGGAGCCAGGCTGGGTGGGGGATGGCTCTGGACACTGTTGGAGGTGGTGGGAGGGTTGGGGTGGAGGCCTGAAATTAAACCACGTGGAAGGGGGCTTTGGGAGCATGAGGAGGCAGGTGGACTTGAGGAGTGCAAGGAGGGCCGGTCCAGGCTCTCACTGGACCCTACTTCTCCAAGGGGACTGAGGTTGGGGTCTTCCTGAGGTAGAGAAGTGACCATAGGTAGACTGTGGACAGTGATCATGGATGCTGCTGGCAGTGGAGCTCCTCTGCTCTGACATTCTCTGTGTCCAGCACCTGCTTCAGGCGCCGCCCCGGGGGAGTGGGAGTCGCACGACTGTCCTAGCCTTGGGTTTGACTTTGGCCCCATCCACTTAGAGGCCATGGGAAAGGTGATTCTGAAAGCGCTTGTCCTTTGTGTGTGTGTCAAGCCTTAGGCCCACATAAGGTTGTCCACAGTGGGGCGAGGAGAAAGGGGCCATGGGGAGGTAGCCCTGCCTAAGATATGCACAGGCCATGCAGCACACTTAGCCAGTGGTGCCAACTTTAGGCTCATGACCCCTGTGGGGCTCCGATGGTCAGCATTCCCTGTCCTCAGGCCAGGCATGCATTGTGGTTGCCTGGCCTATCCTACTTGCCAGTGTCAACTTCTAATGCTGGCAGGGGTGTCATCCCTGGGGACAGGCTAGGATGGGGATAAGATGTGGTCAAGAGCACACACGACTGTGGGACATGCTTGGGCTGGAGTGTGGTTGGGCCATCCAGCAGAGCCTCCTACTTCTCCTGGGCTGGAGAGTGACCACAGGGTGGGGTGACCCCGGCACTGTTGAAAGCTGGGTGCTGGCTGGACACGGGGCCTGTGGTGGACAGAGCACAATGAACGAGTTGCCCAGCAGGGTAGGGAGCTCAGGAGTGGCTGAGAGGCTGGCCACCTGTCCTCTGCAGCCTCCTGCAACCCCCACTGGCAGCCTTGTGGGGCTGCAGAGGGCAGGTCTGCCCAGACCCTCAGTCCCAACTGTACACAGAGCCTGCGCTCCTCTGCAGGGGTGCCTCGGCACACTTCTTGGTCCTGTCCTCTCCCTGTCCTTTCCTGACCCCAGCACCGCACTCGGGGGCATCCCTTCTGAGGCAGCAGCTTCCTCATTCACCTCTCAGCTCTGGCGCCTGCCCCTCCAGGTCTCTCCCAGCCCCAGCCCCAGCACGGGCTTGAGGTCATGGTCTGGGCTGGGCACGCTGGGATGTGTTTTCCCAAGTGAAGAAGGAATCATAGCACAATCTGAGTGGGAAACCCGTGGAGGGGAGCCCAGGACTAGTCAGCTGAGGCAAAGACATTCACTTTGGCATCTGCATTAATATAGTGATTTATTGCTCCTTTAGCAATGTGGTTATGAAGTTCAAGGGGAGAGAGAAGAAACTGATGAAAACAGCGGCTCATCCAGGACTGTCTTCCTTCTCTGGTTTGTGCCTTGACTTCTTCAGAGCTTGGGCCTGAAGGTGTGAGCTCCATCTCATTCACTGCTGGCATACTGGGCCACAAATGCTCACTGGATGCGAATCTCTGGAGGCCTTTGGGGGGGCCCTTCCTCTTTCTCCCTGGTTGACGGCTTGCTGGGGAAGCCTAGGACGTCCGACTGCCTGGACATTTGCATTGCCAACCCCTCAGGTTTTGTCTCAGGTTGTCTCTTGGGCTGTGCCTCTTCCCCAGACTCCAGCTTGGTGGCAGACCTCTTGGCAGAGCCAGGTTCAGGGGTCCACAAGAGTTCAGTTCCCCGGGAGCTTTCCCCCTCCTTGTTGATGACCATAGAGGGCAGTCCTTGTGCCTTGGGCTGCACCCAGCATTGGCTGAGAATGTCATGGATGTGGAGCTGTTGGCTGATGTTGGGCTGCAGCATGCACTAGATGAGGTCCTTGCACTCGTCTGTCAGGTTCTTGGAGTGTGGGAAGTCCACATGGTGCGCCTTCTGGGTACACGGCATCTTCCTGATGTTGGAGTCGTCCTAGGGCATGGAGCTGCAGACCATGATGTAGAGGATCATGCCCAGGCTCCAGATGTCATACACCTTGGGCTAGTAGGGGATGCCCTGCTGCACCTCAGGGGCTGCATATGCCACCGACCCACAGAAGGTCTTGCTTAATCTCTGTTGGCCATTGTCATCCCGCAGGCAGAGCTTGGAGAACCTGAAGTAGAACAGCTTGATGTTGAAATCCTTGTGGAGGAGCAGGTTCTAACACTTGAGGTTCTGGTGCACGATGTCCAGGTCGTGGCAGTACTTAATGGCCAAGGAGAGTTGGTGGAACATCTTGCACGCCATGTCCTTGGGCAGGGCTCCCTGGCACTCGATGAACTAGTTTTTTTTCTCAACCCTGGCTGGGCTCCCAGGGCAGACCTGGGGCTGGGGGCCAAAGGCGGGGCCTGGATGCCACCCTGAGCACTGGTGGCTGCTCTGAGGACAGTATAAGCAGCAGGGGCAGCACTGGACAGTGGCTATTGTTTCTTCTGGCAGTGGAGCCCTGCTGCTGTACCAGGCTCTGCGTCCGGCACCTGTTCCAGGCTACGCCCTAGGGGAGTAGGGGTCACACGACTATCCTAGCCTTGGATTTGACTTTGGCCTCATCCACCTAGAGGGAGTGAACACCCCTTCCTCACAGAGCCAAGTGGAACCCTGGATCCCTCAGGGATGACTTGGTAGTGCAGGCTGGATGTCACTCAGGTTGGGTTGGGTTCCTACCTGCCATGGCCCTTCCCCCTTTTCTCTGCTCCTTCACCTTCTTCCCTAACCCTGACTGCCCACTGCCAGGCCTTTGTGCGTTCTGGGCGCTCCTTCTTCCGGACAGCCTCCTTCTCCTTCCTGCTGGGGACACCCCAACTACTGTCTCCTGGAAACCAAAAATAAAATTCTAAGCTCCCTAGCCATCTGAATGGACCCCTCCTCTCCACCAAGGGCATTCCAAACTTAACCTGAAAAACTAGTTCAGGCTGTGATAGGAAGTGGGAGTCAGGCCTCATTATCCCTCCTCCCTTCAGGTTTCAGGCACAGCTAAGCAATGGTAACATCGACACAGAGACTTGAAGACTGACAACAGACTCTGTGGCAGTAAGATACCAGCATGACAGCAGGCCCGGAAAGAAACAAGTATTTTACTGTAAAACAGATTTCTTTCACATATTTTGAAGTCACTCTGCAAAGCTGTTTCTTGTGGGGAAAATCTACATTCTGTAGAGAATCCCCATCCCTTTCAAGGTCTTTTCTCCTGAGAGAATTAACTAGAGTCTGGCACCTTTTATTTATTTTTCCTTTTTTAATTTTTTTTTTTTTTTGAGACAGAGTCTTGCTCTGTTGCCCAGGCTGGAGTGCAGTGGCGTGATCTTGGCTCACCGCAACCTCTGCCTCCCTGGTTCAAGTGATTCTCCTGCTATCAGCCTCCTGAGTAGCTGGGATTACAGGCGTGCGCCACCATGCCTGGATAACTTTTGTAGTTTTGGTAGAGACGTGGTTTCACCGTGTTGGCCAGGCTGATCTTGAACTCCTGACTTCAAGTGATCTGCCCACCTTGGCATCTCAAAGTGCTGGGGTTACAGGCGTGAGTCACTGTGCCCAGGAGTCTGGCACTTTTTTTTTTTTTTTTTTTTGAGATGGAGCCTTGCTCTGTCGCCCAGGCTGGAGTGCAGTGGCACAATCTCAGCTCACTGCAACCTCTGTTTCCTGGGTTTACGCCATTCTCCTGCCTCAGCCTCCCGAGTAGCTGGGACTACAGGCGCCCGCCACCACGCCCGGCTAATTTTTTGCATTTTTAATAGAGACGGGGTTTCACGGTGTTAGCCAGGATGGTCTCGATCTCCTGACCTCGTGATCCGCCCACCTCGGCCTCCCAAAGTGCTGGGATTACAAGTGTAAACCACTGCGCCCGGCCGAGTCTAGCACTTTTTAATAAGAAACATTAACAGTTTCTTCTCTGTGAAGCCTGATACCTGGAAGCTTCATCTGTCTAAGAAGCTTGGTCTCCACAATCCCTTAATCCAGACAGTCCCTTTTATTGATTCCACGTCTTTAGATAAACTCTTTGAACCAGCTGCCAATCCGCATGACCTGGAAGCCCCCTCCACCCCCACTTTCAAGTTGTCCCGCCTTTTCCGACTGAACCACTGTATACCTTACATGACTGATGTCTTGTCTCCCTAAAATGTATAAAACCAAGCTGTAGCCCTACCCCCGTGGACACTTGCAGGATCTCCTGGGGCTGTGTCCCAGGCTATTGGTCACATATTGGCTCAGAAGAAATGTCTTCAAATATTTTACAGAGCTGGACTCTTTTTGCCAACACTGCCCTCCAAGGTTCACCCTGTTGGTGATGACAGGTGAGAGGTGGCACTTGGAGCACTGTTCGCAGGGGCGCTGAGCCTCCTCTTTGCCTAGCTTTCCTTCCTGCACATGTGGCCTTCCCTTCGCCATTGTGCAGGGAGGTCCTCCAGGGAGCCGGCTTCGCTGCAGTCTCCAGGATCTGGCCTTCCCAGTATCTCTTTGCCTGACACTCCCTTAGGCCATTCCTGTTCCTTACAGGGTGACCCTCTTTCCCCACCCTTAGAACCGGCAGGCCCTCCCTCCTCCACAGCGGTTCGGCCTTAAAAAGACCCCTTTGGGGCGCACTTTTGGGCTGCTCACGGGACCTGAGCTTGCAGGTGTTAAGACCCTTGGAGTCTCAGCCAGGTTCCCGCTTCGTCCTCTCCGCTCCCCACCCGCGCGACCCCACGGCGCCCAGCCCCATGCCCCGCGCCTTTCGATGTCTGTCCTTGTGGTCCCCCGCCCGCCGCCCCTACCCCGCGTCCAGAGACCCTACTCCCTTCCGAGGCCGCGTCGCTCAGGCCCCAGCCCCGGCTCTGCCTCTCTGCTTAACCAATGGCACGCCTCACTCCGTATGGTCCCGCCCTTCCCTTAGAGCCCGCCCCTCAGTCACCGCCCTTAGGTCCCCGCCCACCGCCGTCGTGACCTTAGGCCTCACCCCCTTCGGGGGGAAGTTCTGTGGCTCTGGCCCCGCCCCCTGCCTTGGCGTTCATTGGCCCGCGCCGGCGTCGAGGGCGGGAGGCGGGGTGGCGCGGCGCGGAGCCGAGCAGGACGGCAGCCATCTTGCGCGGAGCTGGAGTCGGAGCCTGAGGCTGCCGCCGAGAGTGCGCGCCAGCCCGCGGCCCAGCCGAAGCTCTTTCCCGCCGCCTCTCCGCGCCTCGCCCAGGTCCAGCCCCGCCTGACCCTCCGCTTGGCACGGTCCCCTGACCCTCAGTCCGGCTCGGTCCGGCCTCCCAGCGGGGTCACGCAGCCGCCCCGGGGACGATGAACGGAGGATAAATGGTGCCCAAGGCAGACAGCGGCGTCTTCCTACTGCTCTTCCTGCTCGTGCTCACTGTCACCGAGCCGCTGCGGCCAGGTGCGCCGCGCGATGGGGGCGGTGTGGGGGCGGGGCGGCGAGCGGGGCCGGGGTCGCCCCAGGACCTCCTTTCACCCGCGGCGCCCTTCTGCAGGGGCCGCGCCTGGGGCAGGGGCGGGCGGGGCCTGGCTCGCGGGCCGCCTGGCACTCTCTGCGGACGCCTGCTGGAGCTTACCTGGGCTCGCGGCGCCTCGGACTTCGTGCAGCTGTGCTGTCCGGGATGTTGCCTCTGGGCCCTTCCTGGGAGCGGCGGCGGCCAGGAGCTACGCCACGGGCGCGCCCTCCCGCCAGCCCAGCGTCGGAGTCGGGCTGGGGACAGCGGCTCTCGGGGGCACCTGGTTTCGCAGAAGTCCTCCCAGCAGTGGCCTAGTGCCAGCCTCTCAGTCCTGGAAACTCCTCGCCTGGACATTGGTGGCTGTGGCAGACTGTCATTCAGTGAGACGTTGCACTGAAGAAGTCCTCAGCTCACACCCGGTCCAGAGGAGGCACCAGGAGTCAGCCTAGCGTTGTGTGGCCGGCGCCAGCGTCCCGCGAGCGGAGACCTCGCCACTGTGCGGGGCCCTTAGGCGTGCTGCGTGTATGTGATGAATGAGTCCAGGCTTTGGAACTCCCCTAGGAGCTAGTGTGTTCTTAAGTCTGTGGTGGGGAATCAGAACCCGGGCAACCTCCTAGGAGACCCTTTTCTACCTATTTCAGTGTACCTCTCCTTCCCTTGAACTGCCCCAGGACCGATGTATCCATCAGGCACAGGAATTCTGATATCACTGGCCCACGGTACTTTTAGTGGCCTGTGAATGTTATTTTATTTCATTTTTTAAGTCAGCAGGAAAAAACAACTTCTGGTCAAAGGAAATGTTTTCTTATGTATATTAATACAGTTTTCTTTATGCCAATACAGTGAAAAAGCATGACTCTTAATATTTCTTAGTGGAGGAAAGGTCCCATGAAGGCAGAAGTGCCAGGGCCGTCTTCTCTGATGACCTAGGTGTGGGAGCACGGGGTGTGTGGCCCTCTCCTCTGTCCTAGCCAGGCTCCCAGCCCAGATACACCGCACCTCTTGGCTCTGCGCTTGTGTCATCTGTATGGAATGTCTGCCTCCTCCCTGGTGCCTACCTGGTGGCCAAGGCCCTGACCCATGCTCAACCTGGACAGATTCAGTGATGCTTCTCTGGTCTCCCCATGCAGAGCTAGTTGCTCACTGCTTTTGGCTGCTCTCTGGGCAGCGGGATGACTGGTAGTGGGGTGGCCTTGGTAAGAACAGAAGCCAGGGCCGGGCGCGGTGGCTCACGCCTGTAATCCCAGCACTTTGGGAGGCCGAGGCGGGTGGATCACGAGGTCAGGGGATCGAGACCATCCTGGCTAACCCGTTGAAACCCCGTCTCTACTAAAAATACAAAAAATTAACCGGGCGTGGTGGCAGGCACCTATAGTCCCAGGTGCTGGGGAGGCTGAGGCAGGAGAATGGCGTGAACCCGGGAGGTAAAGCAGGGGGGCGTCACAGGAGACCTCACACTGAGACTGAGGTCTCAGTAGGGCATGGGTGGGGTAGCTCTGGTAGAGGGAACAAACATTCTTTTCGATTCCATGACTCTCCAGATGAGAACATTGCAGCTACCCCTGGAGGCGTCTTGAGTTGCCGTGCAGAACCTGGGAGCTGCAGTTGGCTCCCTGGCTTTGGCTGGGCAGTGAGGGCAGGCCTCTGGGCCTGATGTGTTCCTTGTATGCCCGCGTGTGCCTCTTCACACATTCACCCTATGTCCTTCCTGAGAGAGTGCTGCAAGGATCTGCCTAGCTGGTGCTTTCAAGAGGCTGGGGCTTCTCTGGTCTTAGTCGGTGTTCTTTCTGTGGGGATCCCGGCCTTAAAAGCATACTTGGGTATGAGGAAGGTACCAGTCAAAGCCCACTTCTCAGGAGTGTGTTTTCTGACTCCTGCCTGGTGGGTTCCCTGAAGATGAGGCCAAGCCACTTGGGTCTCCTCTCTGGTACAGGGCAGGGTGGAAGGCCTTTCATGGAGTTACAGGGCAGCAAGTGCTTGCTGTACTTGACCTTTCACCAATTTTTTTTTTTTTTTTTTTTTTTGAGACAGAGTCCTGCTCTGCTGCCCAGGCTGGAGTGCAGTAGCGTGATCTTGGCCCACTGCAACCTCCACCTCCTTGGTTCAAGCGATTCTCCTGCGTCAGCCTCCCGATTAGCTGGGATTATAGGCACACACCTCCACGCCCAGCTAATTTTTGTATTTTTAGTAGAGATGGGGTTTTGCCATGTTGGCCAGGCTGGTCTGGAACTTCTGACCTCTGGTGATCCACCCACCTTGGCCTCCCAAAGTGCTGGAATTACAGGTCTGAGGTACCATGCCCAGCAATTTTCTTTTAAATGCACATTTGAACTTGATTTAAGATGTGTCATGTGCCGGACACTGTTCTAAGCACTAATATGTATTAACTCTCAAGAGGTCCCTGCTGGATGCTATTTTTAGTCTCATTTAAAGATGGGGAAGCTGAAATCCAGAGTGCTTGTGAAGCTAAGTGAGATGAGATTTCATTGTAGGAGTCTGGCCTTCCCCCCATTGTGCACCCCGACTGGGGCTTGTGCACTCCAACTGTGTCTCCAGCCCAGCCACAGGAGTACCTCACATTATGCTCTGAACAGCTTCCTTAACCCCAGGTGGAGCCACAGGGGACCTATCTGTCCCCTGATAGGTCCTGGGGTCCTCTAGGTGAGGGTGCAGAATCTTTTTCCATGTGGATACTCCAGTCTGAGGGACAGAACCACCCACTCCCCCAAATCCCTTCTGTGTTTGGCCATGTGACCACTGATGATGTGTGTTATGATCACTGGGGGTGTGATGAGGAAGAAGGGTTGGAGACTACTGCTAAGGTAACTGACAGCGAGACGGTGGGGGATTTGGGGAACACTGATAATGTCTCATTGGCCCTTTCTCCATCTGTATAGAGAAGGCAGCATTGATTGCTGATTCTAAAACTGTTTTTCTTTCTAGCTTGAATTGTGAAACAAAATTGTATCACAAGCCACAGCTCTATCCAGGTTGAACCTACCATACATAGCTGAGAAAAAATTGCCTTCTGAGTACTGGTGCACCCTGGTCCCTTCCTGCTGGTTGCTGGTCCTGTACAGGGCTTGTGCTCAGCCAGGCCCCTTGGTGAGGTATAGGATGAGAAGATCATCTTCCTTCTATTGCTGGTACAGCTAGCTGGGAGAGGCAAATGACTTGTCTAAGGTCACACAGCTGGTGAGCAGCAGAGCGAGGGTTCAGACCCAGGTGGAGCTGGCTGCTAGCTTAGGGTTCTTGCCCTTTTGCTTTCAGTAGGCAGCTGTGCTGAGCTGATAAAATCTCAGGGAGCTGTGAAGTGAACACAGCACCTTGGCTCTGGAGTCCAGAGTTTTTTTTTTTGAGACGGAGTTTCTGTCTGTCACCCAGGCTAGAGTGCAGTTGCGGGATCTCAGCTCACTGTAACCTCCGCCTCCTGGGTTCCAGTAATTCTCCTGTGTCAGCCTCCAGAGTAACATTACGGCGTACGCCACCATGCCGGGCTAACTTTGTATTTTTAGTAGAAACGGGGTTTCACCATGTTGGCCATGTAGGCTTTCCTCAAATTCCTGGGCTCAAGTGATCCACCTGCTTTGGCCTCCCAAAGTTACGGGATTGCAGGTGTGAACCACCTCACCCGGGCTGGAGTCCAGAGTTTTCTATTGTGTGAAGTAGCACAGGGGTTTGGTGAATAGGGAGAGAGTGCATATTTTCATCACAAGGAAAAGTGACCGAGGCTCAGAAGTAGCTGGAGAGGTGAGCTTGCACCTGGCCTTGCCAAAACCTCCTGAGTTTGGAGTGCTTTCCTCTATAGCCTGGTACTGTGACACTTTGTAGAGTTTGTCCACTGGTAGATTTGGCTTTTGGGTTAACAGGTTCATTTTTTTTAGTTGGAAAGTGGTGTAATATACTTTCTAGCTTTACTAGCTAATGAATTTTCCTTTCTTTTCTTGACAAAAAGAAACCTTTTACTTGGAAATAATTTCAAACTCACAGAAAATTTGCAAGAATAAAATGAGTGCAGAGAACACCTGCATATTCTTTGCTGAGGCTTCCCTACTGTTGGCGTTTTACCTTATTTGCCTTATCCCCCGTCCTCTGTGTGTATGTGCATATCGTGCATTCACACACGTTGCTTTTTTGTGAACCATTTGAGAGTAAGTTGCATGCGCCATGGCCCTTTATCCTTGTACATGTTAGCCATTGCAGAGAGTAGAGGCTGCTCCCACTTAGCCCCTCCCCATTGTTCTCCCTAACACCTGCTATGTGCCAAGCCCTGTGTCACGTGGGAAGGTCTCGTGGGTGCACGAAGCCCTGTGGTTAAAGCCCAGGTTGGCTCAGGTGGCAAGCTGGCATCACTGCATGTCAGGGTTATTATTTTAGTTGGCGGTTCTAGATTCGGGAATGAAGATTGCTGTTGTGGAACATTTGTGCTCTGTTAGGCTCTGTTAAGCTAGCTTATGGGCACTTTTCCCACCCCTTCCTTCCCAGAGACTTCCCAGAGTGCTGAGTGATTATATCCTCTTAGCAGCGGTGGCCGGTAATTTGTTTGTGCAAGTGTCCTTCTAGCAGTGACGGCAGGTAATCTTGTTATGCACGGATCCTCTTAGCAGTAATGGGAGGTGATTGATCCACGTGTGTCCTCTTAGCAGTGAGGGCAGGTGATCTAGCTGTGCACGTGTCCTCTTAGCCATGGTGGGAGGTGATCTGGTTGTGCAGGTGTCCTCTTAGCAGTGATGGGAGGTGATCTCAGTGATGGGAGGTGATCTTATTATGCATGTTTTCTCTTAGCAGTAGTGGCAGGTGATCCGGTCGTGTGCATGTCCTCTCAGCAATGATGACAGGTGATCTAGTAGTGCATGCATCCTCTCAACACTGATGGCAGGTGATCTGGTTGTTGACTCTCCCCTGCTGGACCTGAGCCTTTGACGGGCAGGGAGTTCCTCTGCTT